ATATTTGTAGTCTTCACTCAAGTTTTATGCGTATGAATCCTCATCAAATTGATGTCTGGTGTCTCTCACTGTAGATGTCAAGCTCACTTTGGATCATTAATACTGTACGAGGGCAATATAACCAGCAGCAATGCTACTCTTTACTTTGAAATCTGAAGAGTTTCCTGACAAAGACTTGATGAATGTTTTAGCGCATAAAAGCCCGTGTAAAAGCACGTTTCTTCTATACTGTGTGAATCATCTTCAGTGGTCTGTCCCTGTTTTATTACTGTTCTTCAGAGAATAATGTTCCTGTTCTGACGACTGACTGAAAATACTGATGTACATGGGTAGAATCAAATAGATGAGAGTTCCAAATAACACCGACAATATCCAGAGAGGTCTTAACACAAAATAGGAATGTCAACAATAATGTCCAACATTTTACATGGCAATTATCTCCATAACCCTCCAGCACCATTACTATGCCACACACACTGAAGTGTGGTGAACAGGCTGCAGATGTGCTCTGTATGTTTTGTCTTCTCTGTGAGTAATGACTGGTGATGTCTAAATGCTGTACACACACCAGCCACTATAATAGTCACACCTGTACAACTAGATACAACTCATTGCGACACTTCTGCCTTAACATCTGGGTTTATGATGCTTAAAATGTTTCAGTTTTTGATGAAAATGTCATAAATGTATAAATTCAATTACAGTAAAGTCACTTTCGGCTTTTCCCGTTTAGGGGTCACCACAGCGAATCGTCACACTGACGACTCGCATGTTGACATTTGGCACGTGTTTAATGCCGGATGCCCTTCCTGACGCAACCCTGATTTGAACCCGGGCCACAGCGGCGAGAGCGCTGCACCTCAACCACTAGCCTACCAGTATATGCTTATTACTGAGGTCATAGTTAAAGGTCATGTTGTACTGGACTATTATATTCAGAGGGGTTCCTAATATTCTGACCCTCTCATATATGTAGCTGGGGAGGACAAAATAAAGAGACACCTCTGAATGACTTCAATATTAAATACATAATTGAATGTATACAGTATATTTGTGACATTTTAACCAAAAACATTTTGAGCTTCATAAACACAGTTACAGTAGAAGTGTTGCATTGAAGTGCGTACAGTTGTACAAGTGTGACTATTAAAGTGGCCACTTTAAAGTATGTCTACAAACATACAGGAAGAATAAGGTTTTTTTTACCTACAGTACATAAAGAATTATAACAGCTCTATATCTAACCAAAGGCTGTACACAGTATAAACCATTGGTTTTTTTTTTTAATCAATTAAATGCTAACATTCCTAAGATTCTTTTTACTGCTTCTCACTTCTTGTTGGCAACACTAATGATTTCTTATATATTATTTCAGCAAGCCCCACAAAACTACAAAGAGACTGGCATTTGTCATCTATAGGTCCTGAGAAAACACAGATAAAGCCACTTGTGAAATGTTCTCAAAGGTACATTCTGCCACACTGCAACATGGTGAAAAGACGTAGACAGGTGGAATTTAGAAACAGTGAAATGGCACATCCCCAGCTAGTTCTGAGGGCTGTGGTGCTCAGAAAATGTTCCATATTACCCTAAATAATTCATGTAATACTGCTTTTTCTGAATGAAAAAAGAAAAGAAGAAAATAAAAGCTGGACACACAAGAAAACACCAGGCGCTAAACTCATAGATGTATTAAACTACAGACAAGTGACAAATTAAAAGAAAAACCTGAACCAATGAGGATGACACTGCCCCCATTCATAGGGCACGAGGTGTTGCTGAAGGGTTTGTGATGATGAAATGATGTGAAGCATATGGTGTGGCCTTCACAGTCACCAGATCTCAAGCCAGCTGAAAACCTATGGGAGATGTTGGAGCGACATGTTAGACAGCATCTCCGCCACCATCATCAAAACACCAGATGAAGGAATATCTTTTGGAAGAATGGTGTTCATCCCTCCTGTAGAGTTCAGAGACTTTTAGCATCAGTTCCATGGTGCACTGAAGCTGTCCTGGTGACATGTCATGGTCCAGCACCTTACTAAGACACTTTGTGTTGGTTTTTCCTTTAATTTGTCACCCATCTGTAATTCGGTAGGACGGTTGAATGATTTTTTTTTTCCAGTTTATATATTCCACGTTCATGACCCACACAAGGCTCCATCTGGCCAACTGCCCGCACACATAAATGACACAAAATTATACACTGATACGAATTGCTGGCCTTAAAATTGAACCTAATGGCTCAATTTATGACAATTTACAGAGTAAATTTTGATGGTCATAAAATGGCCTGGTTTTACAGCACTTTTGAAATAAGTATAATAGCAAAGTTATTCTGGACCATATCATGTTATGTACCCTGCAGTTTTGACTCTGTCTAAAATTGCCACAATCCTAAAGCTGTTCCTGTGGGACTGCCTGACGCCAAGCGCAGATTATCATGCAACACAATGAGTGCTATGTTTTTAGGAGGGTGAGGGCAACAGGGCGGCACTTTCTTTATTCCCTAGGATTTTGAGGGCAATGGGGTGCTTGTGTTTTTTTTTCAGCAAGCACATAAGGACAAAGCAACAACTGTAAAAACGATGGACAGGCTAATAGCTAACAGAAGTGCAGCCACCATGATACAATCGCCCCCTGGTGGCTGGTTGCAGTACATGTCATAAATCCTGCCTTATTTATGTTAGTGGATGGGACATGAGCCACACTAAAAACTCAAAGTACAAATCAAATAATTTTTCCCAGAGGTCACTTGTGCAGTTTTATCATGCTGATGTGTGTGCAAGTGTACATTTTAATAAGTTATTTGATGATATCAAAAGCTGTATTTTACTTGATCTGACAGCTTTGAGTGGCCACCTCATGCCATCACTCCATTTCTGGCCACTACTGTGAAAAAACAAGTTTCAAAAAAAGCAACATTTGGTTTCATTTTTTGCATAGTGGAGGGAAATGATGATGCCATGTCCACCATATACTGTATATGTCAATGGGGCAAAGTCATGGAGAATCAGGTGTACAGGCTAAATATTTTCAAAATAGGACACCATGTACTAAACTTGGGAGGGTCTGAAGAGACAGGATGAGGCCATCACTAGGAGAGGTCATACACTGTGGAAGGGGACACAGATGTTGCTGCTATTAAAGATTCAAAAGATCCTGAGTAGAAGTCAGTGTATTTGTATACAGGTGGGAGATGCCGAAAAATATGGAGACAAAAAACAATGCCTGTATTATCAAGAGTTCTGCTTCTACATGTACATCAGTTATTATTATTATTATTATTATTATTATTGTGCACTCTTTTGGTGTCACTTATTGTCATACCATTTCGCCAGGAGGACTTAATGGTCACCACTGACAGGCAGAAAAATACTGTGAAAGGACTTGAGGTCAGAAGAGTCTCTTAGGACAGTTCAAGGATTTACAGAAAGCCCTCAAGTTTGGCCTGTGAAAGAGAATCTATCTTTTAATAAAAGTGCATGTAAAGATGTTGCTTGTCAGTGTCAAATTGCACACGCGACATGGCTGCAGTATTAAAATCTAAACAGCTACATTTGATAAAATTACACAATATTTACTTATGGTTTTATTGATCCAGAAAATGTCTTTTTCCCCATGAGGTTAGAGATGCTTGGTTCAACATAGATTTCAGTTAGGATAAGGCCCCCTGTCCATATCTGAAGCCCCTCTTGTAATTTCCTCTTGACACCTGTTATCTGACACTGCCTTGCGATCCAACAACTCCAACTCCCAGAGCTTGCGCCTTGTGCAGCAGCTGAGGCAGAATTCATCGCAGGTTTAATGGCAGGGTGGTCATTCATGCAAAGATTGTTACACACTTGAACAAAACTGTGAAATACCTGGTGTGTTTGCTCTATTTTCAGACAGTGTTGTATATGATTATCACCAAACCACAGAACAGGCACTGGAATTAATGTGCCAGCTGTAAAAAAAAACAAAACATTTTGCATTTACTGTTGTACTTACATGTGCACGTATTTAAATTTTGCAAATGCAAGAATTGTCCTTTTCATGACAGGTTGTCAAATAAAGTAAAATTATTGTAAAACAATTTGAATGTAGATGAGATTCATGGACCTGCCTGAACAGCTGCTCTCTAGAAAGATCTTTAACCAAGGCATTTTGTGTGGGAGAGTCCCAGACAAGGGAGGTGGCATGATACATTTATTTTCTATTATTTGATTTCTGGAGTTACACTTTTTAGAAAAGTAAAATTTTTTATGAGTTCTCCTAGCTGGTTGATAACATGTGACTGTGATGGAGACACACGGCCTGTAAACCAATCAGTGCTCCAGTTCTTTTTTCTCTGAAGAAAACAAAGATCTCTGTTTTCAAAGTATTGTTAAATGAAAGACGCTATGTTTTGATCTGAGAAATGTTTCACCGCTGTAGTATTTTGGTGTCTCCTATGTTTTGTGAGTTGGGCACTTATACTGTGGGCGTATGACTCAAAAAGATGGCTCAAACGAACAGCAGAAGTTTTAAAAAGCACAATTCTCAAGATTTAAGTAATTTTTGAGGCCTCAGATTTGGAAATATCAAGGCTGTTGTGATAGATGTACTGTAGAGTGTATCCTTATATAAAGCACTTTCACAGATAGGCCATAACACTACATGACACTAGGAATTTAACACAATCAGACAGAATTCTAAAAAGATCCTTTTCAGGGGAAACGGGATTGAAGCCTTCAAGAAGACGTGTGACCTACTTGGCTTAACTTGCCTTTGTTCAAGTTTGGTCTCGGAGCCAGCTGTGACACGTCTGCTGCTGTCAACTGGAATCATGGGATGTAGGGCAGACAGATGAACAGGAGACAGTCTGCATATATGTGTGTGCTTCTCCAGCTTGTCGGCGTAGGCGAAGATGGCAGCTTTAAGTGCTGCATGTCTGTGCGCAGCCCGGCCACCTGGGAACACCCTGACCATATGCGCAGTAATGTTGGCAGACAAGCAGTGTTAACAACAGGAGAAAGGCCAGTCAACTCTGTTCACTTGGTCTGGCTCAGCTCCTGGAGTCTGACAGCACCTGGAGACAGCAAGTACAATATACACATCATACATGTAGTGTACACTAATGAGAATACACAGAATTTTATAAGAACTTACATTTCCTCCATGCGAATGGGTTTCTTCAAGTGGGATTTGGTTAAAGCTGAACTTTTGTGCTTTTTTTTTTGACTTGCGGTGTCAATTAAATCCACAAAGAGACAATTCCCTCTTGAGTGATTTTAATATTGGGCAGAGAAGTATTTGCCCATTTGCAAGCTTGACATGGTGAAAAGAAATTAATCTGCTTCTCTAAACCACCAAATGTTTTCCTTCATCAGTGTGAGCACAGTACATGTACATAAAAATCCCCATATGGCTAAGAAAATGGAGCCTTCAGGGACTTAGCACAGAATGCACTGTAAGCCAAAAGCATTATGTTTTCAGTCCTCTGTAAATTGCTTTTGTGCATTGAAAATATTCATCAATTCTATGTCAGGAATTGTTTTTGCCGCCCTCGAGTCTCCAATCACTGGCTGGGTGTTTTATAGTAATACTATGTTCCTTATCTGTCATGACTTTTTAACATACTGGAAGAGGCACTGTAAATGAGCCTGGGTTCGTCTCTGCAGCAAAACAAAGCTTCCCGCTTTAATTGGAGCTCAGTATATGAGGAATAAAGCAACTCGCAGTCACTGTGCTGTCATTCATCTAAGGCCATGTATGTGAATTTTATTTCACAAAATGCTTAGTATTTTGTCCTCTGGTCTAAATAATATTTAAATGGGGAGTTGAGACTGCAGTAAAGCTAGATGACAGAATGGTTGGCTGCCTTTTGAAACAGGAACACTGCCAGCAAGCAAATATGACAAAGAGTGAAGCCAGTGTTTGGGTTTCTTTCTTTACTGTATATATGTAAATACCATCAACCCACTCAGCATCGTTAATGATTAAGCACACCAAGGAAACATATCAAAGATATGTCTGATTATTTTTCAACCACATATCTTTTTGAAGATTGCAAAAAAAAAAAAAAAAACCTGACTCGCTACAAAGTGAAATGAAAAAAATGAAATGCACCATCCAACCTGTTTCAGCTACAGATAAGGTCTTAGCCATCACTGTGCTAGAAGATGCCTGTGGTAGTTTGATTCTTGAGATGGACTGTACATTGCTGTGATTTCAAACGAGTGGGAGACTGGTTGTTCCCAAAGCAACGCTGGAGCTGACTCAGACACTCTAACCCCGGTGCCCCAAATCACACGGCAGTGTTATGTGCCAGAGGATACAATCACGGAAACACATCAAAGTTCAGTCTCTGGAGCTGGTCTGCTCGCATGCATGTCTACAATATGGGCCTTCTACACACACAAACACATTCATCGAATCACTGACTAATTAGACACGAATACTCTATAGGATGACTCATAATGAAAGAGCAATTAGACCTCTCTATCACTGGCTCTGAACCAAATGTGGCTTTGACTTTTATGCCATGCTGCTTTCAGCATCTGCAGGCTAACCACACGTCGGTTTGTCTGACCCGACTGCCAGACCTCAGGGAGAATCAGTGGGCTTCCTGCCCACCTCGCTGTCAGTACCTTCCCTCCCTCCT